GTCATCAATTAAATCTTTTTTTTGCTTCAAATATAGAGTCCGTATAAAATTTCGAATCTCAGTATTTTCAGCTGTTGACCAAATACCAATAAAGATGCGAACTGAAGGCCAACTCCATAATTTGCCTAAATGAATTCCCTTTTTTTCATGATAGCTTTTACATTCCATTTTGGCTTTGAAGGGAATTGGCTTGACTTGAAAAAAGCGTATCTCTTCGTTACTAGGTTTTGCATGATTTTTACGTTGCTTTTTTTTGGTGCTCGATAGTAAGTATTCCCTTTCAGAATTATGCTTTTTTACGAAAGTAATCTATGTTGAAATAAATTTTGTTAGTTTTATCATATGTTGCATGATAATAACATAAAACGATTATACAACATTAAATCACACCAATAACGTTTAATAACATAATGACTAGAACTCAAAGTTGTTTAGCACGTCAGAAAACAATGTAATAAACAGGTCTTTCATTAAAATTTTAATAATAAAAACTTTATTGCAAGCTTTGATTATAAAAATCTATGAGAGAACCATTCATTACATTATTTATTTATTTTTGATATGCCAAGTATTCTAGAAAACTAATTCATTACGGTGTGATTTTACATCGCTTGTAATAGTAGATTTCTCAGGAAGTTTAATCATACATCATATATATCATTATCAATAATAAAATCATTATAATATATTAGAACAAAAAGAATGATAAAAATAACTTCCAAGACGCAAATAAATATAATAGTTGAACGTCTGGTAAACATTTTTAAGTCTTTTGTTGTGTGAACATAGACGAGTATACGTATATATATGTATATTTAGTGAATTAAAATTAATTTGGTACTTCCTTGGTATTACCGTACTAAAAATTTATGGTAATAGAATTTACGTCATTGTGTTATGGTTTGTTTATTCTTATTCGGATCTCTCTGAATATAACTTATAACGAAAGCTGCACTGATGAAATCGCCAAAGTTTAATGCACAAGGCATAGTTCAGCGAAATCTTTTTGTGTTGTCAACACTAAATCCACCTCTTTATAGGATTCAGGATACGTTGTGTTTGGAGTATGAAGACTTCAAACTAGTGATATGGCGAAACAATAATGTGTTGAATACTTCAACTAACAAGAAGATTTGAAAGGCTTTGGTGAAAGAGGCTACAACTCTAATGTATATGAAGATACAAAAGGTTGTATTTTTCTATTAACTAACTCAATATCACATGGTCTCGTGAACGCTCTTACAGTTTTTCTTCTATTTTATTTTAGACTTTAGATACGATCGGTTTTATTAAATAAAGAATAAGATAAAGAATACAAAAGAGAAGGGTAATGGAGAATTCGAACTATCTAAAGGACTATTCAAGGGAATCGAAGTCTGAATGCCAGATCAAGGTCAATTCGAAGGCCTTTTATACACATATTTTGTGAACTAAGATATACAACGCGATGAATACTTCTTGTTAATACTAAATTTATCAAATAATTAATCTAATAAAACTAATATAGATCAATTAGTTTAGTACACTGTGGTCATGTGAATCAGCTGATTCTGTTGCGGTCAATTTTCCATGTGACAGTGTGATGACG